GATGGCAGCAGTAAAGCTGCACTAACAGATAAAAACAGTTTGTCATGTTTAGCTGATGTACCGTAGATGCTGGGCAATAGAAGTTTAGCAAAAACGGCAAATTTCAGTTTAATGCCTCAGTGAGTCGCTCATTACGTTTTAGCTCTATTCTAAAACTGTCTATGCTTAAACAAAGCACAGTAAGATGCATGGTGAACATTCACTTTAAATGCAACGTGGATGCAAAATCACATATATACTAACTTGCTGGATCACTGCAGGAAGAGCGGTGAGATCTCTGGCAGCATTTTTGCCAGCCTGGACAGTCTATATCCAAGTCACACTCCTCAGAACTGGGATGCAATCCATCTGCAGTTGGACAGGATCCTGGCTTGGAGCTAAACTCACCACTCCTGTTTACAGCTTCATTCAAAGGAAATAACATGTTGCAGGCCATATATTAGCAGTGAGATATTTGTAGCATTGCAGTTTCAGCGCTTCCATCTGGTGTCTTGCACACAGCACCACACACTTAAAGGTCACGCTGACTGCCTGGCTAGAGACAGTGTGTGTGGTGCATAATCAGATTTTGCAGACACAAAGAGTCTTCTACAGTCTAAGAACAAAACAATGTGTGCTTTTCTTTAATCCTGATCAGTGTAGTATACTCACGCAGGGCACAGTAACGACCAACTTGCACATAGCCAGAGCAGCATCCCATCACCTGCTCCGTCACCAGCTTGTACTCAGTCTGATGGATCATCCTGTACTTTGTGACATTACAAGTCTTCCAGAGGAGCCAACCGCCACAAGGCTTTGACACTGAATAGGGAACCTTGTGCACCACCAGGAAACTCACAATCTTTGTTTCGTTATGAGTGCACAGGTGGTAGCCAGACAGACACAGGCTATTTCCTGAAAATAAAATAGATCTTTTTGATATCAGATGTTTCCACTGGTATCTTGTACACTGCTGCAAAATAACATTTTGAGTCACTCTAATAAACCGCTCCTATATGTTAATGTGCTCGGAAAGTTTTGAATGAAATGTGAAGGCTTTAATCGAAATAAATGTCACATTCTGTTTTGTTAAAACATCTGTTTCGAGTAAATCTGTCGTCGGCATCTTGGCCTACCTTCATCCACAGTGTCCTGTCCCCTACAGAGAGCCAGCAGGGCCACAGCCACCCCAAACGAGAGCATCCAACTCATTTTCACATCAGAATCTCACCCATGTATTTAAGCACCACATTTTACCTCCATATTTCACTTTGAAATGATAGCAGCGCACTGTTCAGGGAGTAGTCAAAGACCAAGTCCTCTGCGGCTATCTTTCCCCTCCCCTTAATGACCCGACGGTCCCAAGTGTACCACGAAATTACAGCATCCAACAGGTAAGTATTATATAAATTTAGATATTTGCAGTTACCATTTTATTAATTTACTAAAAGTATATTAATTTTGGAAAGAGGTTCATGTTTTTTTAAATTGCTGTCAGCGAAACAACCTGGATAATCAGCATAAACACGACAAAGTCTTTGCTTTTCATGCAACCTGTGAGAGGAAGTGCATGCTTTTATTTTTGTCACATAAATGCATTATGGATTTGCCTATTCTTTGGCTGTGTCATTGTAAGTAAACATGTTTATGAGGCCAAGGAGAATTATGGGCTGGGAGGAGTCAGAGTCCCTAATGGCTTGGTTTCCACTCAGGTAACCATGGCAGTGCTTGCTATGATGCCGGCATTAACAACCAACCATCTTAGCTATTAAAATCAAGTAAGGAGGAGTGAGAACTTCCCTGCCATTTCCCCACATGTCTTCATTCTGCTAATATCAAAAAGCAACAGGATGCTTTGGCTGTCAAAGACATATTCTAAAAAAAGGCTCAAATCCTGCTAAAATTCTACAAGCCTTTTGGCATGCCTTTAATTCTTCGCAAAAGTACCCGTTCAAATAACGGTGCTCCATTAATAGTAATGAGGTGTGAAAATGAACCTGATTAAACGTAATTCAGTGATTAAGCAGTAATG